ACTTCAATGCAATCTAGGCGCAATGAGACCAAAGTACGAACTATTACACTAACGATATAAAATAAAAATACCGTGCTAAAAATTCGTCCAAAATAAATAACTCATATACCAATTGAAAGATGAAACCTTAATCTATGTACTCCTGAAAAGAAAATTGGAATATCTTTCCTCGTTTTGTCAGCAACGTCCTTCAAAGCTAACACTGCGCAGGTCGGTGCACTGCACAGATGTCAGTGGCATACGATTATTTAAAGAGTCGGTGCAGCACACGGATGTCGGTGCGGAAGGGTTAAGTCATGTAGACATTAAAGAGAATTGCATTTCAAATTAATGCAACCGGCTAGCCATCATGACAAGGAACGTAATAGATCCAACATCAGAAGACGCGGAAGAACAACAAGACCTTCAAAAGTGAAAGTGCAGTCAATGTGATGAGTTGAAGTTTAATTCATGAACTTTTTAACCAAGTGGTAATAATATAACTAGTTACAGTGAACTAAATTTTAAATTTTAACTTTTAACATTTGTATTTTTAACTTATATTTTATAAGAAGAACTTGACACATATTATTGAACATGGACCTGAACAGGATACAGGATCAAAATAAGTGGAAAAACGAATGTGATTGCGTGTGATTGTGCAACTGTGTTTGTACACCTGAGGATGACCTCTTGAGGTCGAAACATGTAGTGTGACAGTAAATAAAAACGTGTTGTGTGGTCGGTAAAATTAACTCTAAAGGAGGTGTGCTGTTGGCCAGAATTTTGTAGAAGTAATCTGGAGCCCAGTATTTCAAGTCTGAAAATAAATTAAAATGATTTTTATTGGTTTACATTTTTCATCATACATTTTATATAATTTCTCTCTCTCTCCCTCTCTCCTTTGTTCAGGTTATATCATAAATTTGCTGCTTGATATCATTGATGCCGGTGAAAGATTATCATCAAATTCCAAGATGTAAATTTGCTTATTATTTGTTTTTTAACCCCTTATACTCACCTGGTTCATTGTATTTTCTTACACTGGTATTCTCATTGTTATACTTAAGATTTTTTTTTCAGAACGTTGTCAATATTGTTTAGGGTATGTACAGTTCTTACATATGCATAAAACTTTTTTTTTTCCAGATGGTAATATCAAAATAACAGCATTTGTGTCATACAAGGTTAATTTGATCAAAAGGAATTAACTTCGGCCTTGTTTGAAATGTTCTGTTTCTTATTTTTTAGATCATTCAAGGGCTGGAAGCCAGGATCTTAGCTCTCATTACAGCATAAATTCATACAGTGAAGGAGATTATCGGCAACAAGTAGTAGCTGTTGGTACCCCCCTTCCGACAGCATCATTGCCTATTGGTATGTATCATTCGTCATGTTGTATTGTAATGACAGTGGCAGATTATGGATTGTATTTAGTAGAAAGTGTGATATATATTGTTTAGGCACGCAGCAAGGACCAGTAATGCTGACAGCCAAGAATCTGCAGTGCATGAGGGCACTCCTCAGCCTTGCACACTGTCATGGCAGCATCTTGGGTACTGCTTGGCATCTGGTGCTCACCACTTTGCAGGTATTCTTGCCCAATTTGTTATCTTGGCATTAATATATCCTATCTTAACCTTTTTTTATTTCTTAACCCTAACATTGTTTAAAATTTGAGTAGTTTGACTTGAAAAATATATAAACCTTATATTTAGGCTTAATAAAAAACAGTAAACACTTTGCTGAAGTGTTTTTTTTTATTTTATGTTGCTGAATCATTTAACAGGTTATTCATAAAACTGATATAAGAGTAAACAAAAAATGTGAAATCTTATTGATGAATACAGCAATATCCAGTTTGAGTATGTCAAGATTATGTGAATGTTGTGTAGTACAGTTACACTGAAATTTGGCGGACAGTATATTGTGACATGGATGGCATAACGGGAAGTAGGGGTCACGTGAACTCTGCAGTCTCGTGAGTGACGTCACATACGCCCACCCCTTTCATCATCATGCAATGCTCAGTAAACACCCCCTCCCCCGCGGTGACGTAACAGAGGAGCAACTGTGTCATTCAACCATTGCCACAGTGTTGTTACCGAGGGATACTGTGGTTACTACCCAGCCGTAAGTATTTGTGATACTGCTGATGGCAGTAATATTGAGATTGTAAATTGTGTGATTGTAAGAGCAGATGTGCAAGAAATTTGCTATATCCAATACGGTGTAAAGTTACTTGTTGCTTCCAATATACCCGACATGTGATAATATTTTACACAATTTTAGTAAGAAAAGAAAAATCTGCCGCTGTAACAGGCCATGAAGGCCCACAGGGGTGTGAGAGGTCAAGGCTCCCACATCTTTTAGACATTTGGCTCACAGATGGTGAGTTTGTCAGCCTTATGTGCCAGCTGTCCTTTACGCCCAGGAAGATTCCTAGGATTCATTTCTGCGAGAGACTGAGTTGACCCCAAGGCCATAGTGTTCCAATCAACTCTGCTACCATGTGCCCCCACCATTGATGGTACAACCAAGAAACCATATGTAGTTCATTTGTATTCTTCTGTTATTAATACAAAGTGTTACTATATAAAATCGTGTTAATATACATTTCCATGGACTGCTGTTCCATATTTTATTTTGTGAAAAACAGCATCCTTCTTTCAGCATTTGGTGTGGATCCTGGGCCTGAAACCTTCCACAGGTGGAAGTTTGAAAGCTGGGCGCACAACAGCTGATTCAAATGCTGTGATAACTACTGCTGTGATGGCTGATTTGCCTGTTTTGTCTGCGATGCTGAGCCGACTTTTTGAGTCTAGCCAGTACTTGGATGATGTGGCCCTCCATCATCTCATTGATGCCTTGTGCAAACTCTCACATGAAGCAATGGAACTTGCATATTCTAACAGGGTAAGTGAAGTTCAATGTATGCATTTCAAACTAATTCCAAGGCCCTGAATGAAGGTCTCAGTTTGATTAGCAAGGAAATGAATGGCTCAGGAGTGCAAGCCTTCACCACAGTCTCTCCTTGCTGCCTATACAAATTGTCTTTCAGACCAAACGGTAGCTGAAGGGGTGGGCTTTCCTTTCTCTTCTCTACTGGTTGTCCTAAAAATATTTGTTGAGCTAATGACAGCAAGTTAGAGTGGGAAGATTGTACCAGATAACCAGTGTTTAATGTACACTGCTGTTCAAAAGTATCTGACCTTATTTTTTGCCACTGTAAGTAATGGCCAAAGGGGTGTGGAAACTGAGCGTAGTGGTAGAAGGGACTTTCATGCGCATGCGCATGCGTGATTTTTTGCTGACTCGCAACACTGCCGGATAGCAAAGTGGTGTAACACTTGTTCGTCACATTCTTGTTTTGCTCAAGAAGACAGAACGCTTTCAGCAGTGATACTGCATCAAGTTTTGTCAGAAACTTGGGGATACCCAAGCAGAAGCAATGCACAAAATTCAGCAGGCTTTTGGCGATGATGCAATGGGGGTCACTCAAATTAAAGAGTGGTTCAACTGCTTTAAAGATGGCCGTATGTCAGCGGACAGTGATAGCATTCCGGGAGACTGTCAATGAGCTGAAATGCTGATGTCATTGAAAAAGTGCGGACATTGCTCATGGACGACCATTGTTTGACCCTCTGGGAAGTTGCTGATGAGGTCAGTATCAGCAGAGGTTCCGCAAACACAATTTTAACTGAGGATTTGGCCATGCGAAGAGTGGTGGCAAAATTTGTGTCCAAGCTGCTTTCACCGGAGCAGCAACAACTCTGCCTTGAGGTCACGCAGGACATGCTGGAGTGTGCCAACAGGGATCCTGAGTTCCTGAAGACTGTGATCACTGGTGATGAGTGATGGGTGTACGGATATGACCCAGAAACCAAGGTCCAGGCATTACAATGGAAGCATCCAACATCCCTGAGGCCCAAAAAAGCACGACAGGTTCGGAGCAATATGAAGATGATACTGACTATTTTTTTCGATTACCGGTGTGTTGTGCATCATGAGTATACATCACTAGGCCAAACTCAATAAGGAGTACTACCAAGAAGTCCTCCACCATCTTTGTGATGCAGTTCGGTGCAAGAGACCGCAGCTGTGCGATGCACACAACTGGCAGGTGCATCATGACAATGCCCCAGCTCATTTATCACACCTGATCCAGGGTTTCCTGGACAAGCATGGAATTCTGCAGGTTTGCCAGGCTCCCTACTCTCCTGACATGGCTCCTTGTGATTTCTGGCTGTTCCTGAGATTGAAGACACCGCTAAAAGGCTCCCATTTTGACACCTGCAAGGACATCATATGGAACGTGATGGTGCAGCTGCACGCCTTTCCAAAAGAAGCCTTCCAGAATTGCTTCCAGCAATGAAAGGACCACTGGGCTAAGTGTGTGGAGTCACAAGGGGCCTACTTTGAAGGGGATTAGGTATTGTACCACCCAGATACAGAACTTTGTTTTCCCGGCCCAAGGTCAGATAGTTTTTGGACAGAGTAGTATGAATTGGTTAGCTTGTGGTTTTAGCACATGACCTCCATGCACATGCTAGATGTATTAGTCATGGTTGACCATGGAATAAATGTACCAGGTGGCATGCTTTATTGGTATGACTAGCTGCTTGAGGATTGCAGAAATATATTGAGAGGGCTGCAGGCAGCCAGATTGTTATGTCTGGTATAGCCATCCTATTTGCACATATGTTGGAAGAGTGACCAGCACTCTGGGCACATTCATGTAGGCCAGAGGGGGCTGAAATGGAACACAGCGCTTTGCAGATACTGGGAAGCCTTGTGTCCTTGAGTTCCATTATTACCTTACTATACAGAATGATTCAGAAAGATGGACACAATTTCAATTGGCTATATGTCCTGAATTATATGTTGCATTTGAATTCTGTAAATTACATTTGATTATACATACATGGACGCTTATAGATGTCCAATGTGCCCCCCCCCCCGGCTGCACGGATAACATCTAGACGGTAGCTGATTTCATCCCACACTTGATGACAAATATCTTGCATCACTGAGTTCACCGCAGCTGTGATATGGTTTCTTAGGTTATTCAAATTTGTGGGAAGAGGTGGTACATAAACTGCATCTTTCAAGAATCCCCACAGGAAAAAGTCGCAGGGTGTGAGATCAGGAGACCTCGGTGGCCAGAACTGAAGTGCCAGGTCTTCATTCCCCATGCAACCTATCCATCGTTGAGGTAGAGATTCATTCAGGAAATGTCGAACATTCAGGTGCCAATGGGGTGGAGCTCTGTCCTGCTGGAAAATGTAATCTCCTGAATTTTCATTCATTTGAGGAAGAAGCTAGTTTTGCAGCATTCTAAGATACGTTACTCCAGTAACCATGTTTTCATCAAAAAAGAAAGGTCCGTAAACCTTTGTTAATGATATTGCGCAGAACACATTAACTTTCGGGCTGTCCCTCACATGTTTGAATGTTACACGGGGATTTTGTAGCCCCCATAGGCAAACATTGTGCCTGTTGACTTTCCCACTTAGGTGAAATTTAGCTTCATTGCTAAAAATTACACGAGGCAGAAACAATTCATCTTCCATGTTTTTGAGCATACAGTCACAAAATTCTACACGCTTTACCTTATCGTTTGCGCGAAGAGCCTGTACCAGTTGTAGGTGGTGTGGTTTGTACACTAACCGTCACCTCAATACATGCCAGACAGTTGTTTGCAGTAGTCCAAGTTCTCTACAAGCACTACAGGTTGACTTCTTTGGGCTACGCTCAGAGCTCACTTGAATGCACTCCACGTTCTCCTCTGATACATGCGATCGGCCCGGGCTTTTACCCTTGAACGGAGAGCCAGTTCCATCAAATTGTTAATTCCAACAATAAATTCTCTTCCTCGTTGGAGGTTGGATGTTAAACTTTGATATCTCTTGAGTTAATGTAACATTTCATTACGAGTTTGCTATAATTGCATGATAAGGCAAAGTAATACCATTTCTATATATATTTCTAATATTAATCCCTTTGTCACATTGATGAAGTATGAAGACACATAATTAGGTCCATGTTTCTAGATAGAACTGGTTATTCATGTCATATATTTATAGTTTACTTTGTGAAGACACATTACTTTTTTCATTTTAAATCTTCAGTTTGTAATTAGTTTGCATGTTTTATATTGTATTTGCATAAACATTCTTTGCTTATAACTGTTATTTATGTTGATGTAAAATATTGCAAAATTGATAATTATGGAAATAAGTTTTGTGTTTCAAGAATGTCTCTTGAAACTTATTTTTAAGTATTCCATTCTGGGTTATTTAAAATATTCTACATCTGACCTGTGGGGCCCACCCAGCCTTCTATCAGTAGGTACCAGGGGCTCTTTCTTTGGGAATATAGTGGCCAGGACATGAAGCTGACCACTCAGCTCCACTTAGTGCTGGGGTTAATGCATGGGGCTATACTTTTACTCCCCCATACGGCATCATCACTTGATGGTTAATTAAGCACAGGGCCAAATTTACTTACATGTTTTACCTCCCAATTTGTGAACTGGTAGGCTGTGTATTAAATTGTGCTGAAAAATGTCATCTCTCACTTACTGTTGGATTTCATGAATGAGAACAGACTGACCTGCATACAGGTCACACTTGTGTTTCCTTATTACTGTAAAAATGTAGGAGAAATATTCATGTGCAATATTGTAACTGGACTATTTGACATTAGAGTCTACCCTCTGAATTTTTACTGATTCCACAATAAATAATTGTAGTGGTAAAAGCCATATTATCCAAAAATAAGGTTGTGGTTTACATTATGATATAATATTTGACATTATTATTTCGCAACCTACTGAATTCCTGTCTCTTGCACCTATTTCTGATGCAGATGTCTACAAGGCCATTAAGAGACTAAAACCCTCTAAATCTGTCGGACCTGATGATATCCCAGGGTTTGTCGTAAAAGGCTGTTCGGCAATTTTTATGCCTGTACTTAGGCATATATTCAATTTGAGCCTGTCTCAGCAGCAATTCCCTACTGCATGGAAGGAAGTGACTATTGTGCACAGGCAGTCCTGCCTGTTACTCACACAGGCAGTCCTGCCTGTGTGAGTAACTGCAGGCCCATTACCCTTCTCAACAACTTCTCTGAGCTCCTTGAATTCATTATTCATGATCATATTTCTCATTACATTAAACTTCATCCCAACCAGCATGGCTTCACCAAATTCAAATCCACAGCCACTAATCTGGTATCCTTCTTAGATATTATGACCCCTGTTGTCTGCAGTCAGCATCAGGCTGATCCTGTCTATTTTGATTTTTCTAGTGCCTTTGACCTCGTTGCCCCATACTTTGCTAATGCATAAGCTCAGCTCCCTTGTATTTTCTGATGGATACCTTAGCTGGCTTGGCAGTTATCTAGCTAACAGGAGATCTTGGCTCCCTCTCCCGGCCTCTAGAGTAACTTCTGGTGTGCCGCAAGGCTCTGTCCTGGGGCCCCTTCTTTTTCATGTATTCATTAATGACCTCTGTAACTCAATAAGTCACTCCCATTTTCTGATCTTTGCTGATGATCTCAAAAATTGTTCACATCATAGACACTCTGCAGGATTGCCTCTTACTTCAAAATGACATTCATCATATCAGTGACTGGTGCTCTGCCAACTCCATGAGTATTAATATCAACAAAACGTGTGTTATGTCGTACTCAAGGAAGACTAATGTCCTGCTCTATGGGTATCAGCTTTGTCGTGCTGCTATTACACGCACAAGTTATGTTAAGGACCTAGGTGTTTTCTTTGATTCTAAATTGTATTTTCACAATCATGTTGATTTTTTATATTCTGAATGTATAAAGCTCCTAGGTCCTATACGCTCAATAACTTTAGATTTTCTTCTCTTGACTGTTTATATGTGCTGTATCTTACATTAGTCAGGTCCAAGTTGGAATATGCCTCGGTAGCTTGGAATTCTATCACGTCTACTGACTCCGCAAAACTTGAGCGCGTCCAGATAAAGTTTGCGTCTGTCTGTTTCTATCGTTACTTCCCTCATAGCTCCTATAGTTATACATCTGCTGTAGAGAGACTAAGATTGCACCTTCTAAGTCTGCGTAGACATCTTCTTGATGCACTCTTCTTCATTCAGGTTTATCATGGCCTTAAATCCTGCTCCTCCATTCTGGATAATGCTAGTCTTCGTGTTCCTACTTGCCATGTTCGAGACATCTCTACTTTCAGCGTTCATCCATCAAAAAGACATTGTCCCTCTTCTTGGTGCACCCTTGCTACCAACGTGGTGGGTAAAGATCTTGACATATTTGCACATGGAGCAGCTTCTCTGAATCATATTTTACAAGCATGTACCAAACCTTTTACGGTGTTACTGGATTAGTGTTCTCATTAACTACAAATGTGTATACCTCGGCTAACTTTAATTTTCTTATGTAATGGGTATTAATTTATTAGACTTGTTATTAATTTTATGCTATCACTCCCAGTTGTCTTACCTTAGTATCTAGTTGCTAATAGTATTAGCAACATTCATAATAATTCATAATTCATAAATGTATATATATATTTAAGTCTTCTCTAGATTTATGCTCACTGATTTAGTTCTGTCATATTTGTATTGTGTTTAATTATTTTTCTGTATCTTTATATACTTGTGCTAACTTTGTAATTGGCCACTGTGCTGTTAAGTTATTGCACGTAAATAAACATGAATTGAATTGAATTATTATTATTATTATTATTATTATTATTATTGTTGTTGTTGTTGTTATTGTTATTATTATT